AGATAGCAAGAGAACTTGATTTAGAAGTGGAGCCCAAAGATGTGACTGAATTGCCACAATCTCATTATAAAACCTTAACCTTCAAGGACTTACTTCTTAATGGATAAGCAAAGTAAAAGGTTGTTTTTTTTTTTTTTTAAGATGGAATTTACTCCTGGGGAAGACACTGTGAAAATTGTTGAACTTGCCACTGGAGGAGGGTCCAAGGAGGTCCCAGAGAAGGAGAACTCAGCTCAGGATGATGGAGTCTGAGATGGAAAATTATTTCAGTATGCATCAGAAATTGAGGCACAGAGACTTATTTAGGAAAGCAAGGAGCATACATTCAAGGAAGAACATAGGATATCTCAAGAATGAGAAGCAATGCCTTTGTCTGGGTCTAATATTTATGGTGGGACAGTAGCTATGGAGCTGAACTAGGGTGGAATTACACAATTTCAGGCCAGTTTTCCTTGGGTTTGCACAATGCCCCCACATCATGCTATCTGCAGGCAAGGGCCAGAGCACAAGGATGTGACCTGGATTCCTTGGGAGTTGCTTGTTTTGCATTCCAATGGTTCATGAGTGTTTTCTGCATCTCAAGGATTCATAGGCTCTTCTCTTAAGAATCAGAGTATCTTTTCTTCCTTCTTCTGTATCCCCATAATCCTATCTCAAAATGACAACAAAGGATTTAGAATGTTACATAAACTCAGTTGATCAAGCAGTGGCAGAGTTTGGGAGGACTGACTCCAATTTTGAAATAAGTTCTAGTGTGGGTAAAATGCTGTCAAAGAGCACTGCATGCTACAGAAAAATCTGTAGAAAAGTTGATCTGTGTGGCAAACTTCATTGCTATCTTAAGAAATTGCCACACCTACCCCAACCTTCATCAACCGCACCCTGATCAGTCAGCAGCCATCAAAATGGAGGCAGGACCCTCCACCAGCAAACAGATGATGACTCATTGAAGGCTCAGATGATGGTTAGCATTTGTGTCATTTGTGTTTGTGTGTGTGTGTGTGCGTGTGTGTGTGTGTCTGGTACTGGAGAGAGAGCCCAGGGGTGCTTTACCACTGAGCTACATCCCCATCCATTTTTATTTATTTTAAGACAGGGTCTTGCTAAATTGCTGAGGCTAGCCTCAAATTTGCAATTCTCCTCCTCAGTCTCCCAAGTGACTGGGATTACAAGTATGTGCCACTATACCTGGTGATTGCAGGATTTTTCAGTGATAATTCTTTAATTAAAGTATATGTGTGTGTGTGTGTGTATACACACATATACATATATATTGTTTTTTAGATGTAATTCTTTTGCACCTTTTATATAGTACAAAAATAACTTTAACACCCCCCCCCCCCAGAAATTGAAAAAATTGTGTAATTCATTTCATTGCAACATTTGCTTTATTGCAGTGAACTGGAACTGAATCCACAATATCTCTGAGGCATGCCTATACAGAGAAGAAGACACCCTTACAAATGTAGGGTGTAGATATAAATTGTCCTTACAAAAGGGCACTTCTACTTCTAATTTCTGAACCTCTTCTTTTTCTGTACTTTCTCAACATAATCAGCTCAAAATAATACAGATAGGCTCCTGAGGTAGAACTCTTCACTTCTTAAGGTTGTTGTATGTCCCGTGACTAATGTAGCAACCCTTAAATATCCTCAAGGGGGCTGCTGAAAGTAGATGAGATCCAGGCTGAGGAGTTTGCCATATGATGTCACTGAGTGGGGTGAGGCAAGGAAACCCTGTTTCTGGGGACTTGAAGTGAGATGGGAAACAACTGGGTTTAGTGATGAAACTTCTTAGGGATGTGAAGCAACCAGCAAAGGGGTGAGGTGGAGGGAGTCATGAGGGCCATCCTAATCCTAATCCTAATCCTAAACCACGAGAACAGACCAGGAGTTCCTCAGGTACAGGCAATGGCAGCCACCACCAGCAAGATGTGCCGCTGAACAGACCCGCCCCACCTTGGTGGGCACCAACCTGCCACACCCAAGACAGGATGGGTGGCCTGCCATGGAGACAAAATAAGAACAGGTAGCACACCTGCCCCATCCCCAAGTCCCCAAGTGCCACTAAGATGCAGACCTTCCTCCACACCGAGATGCCATCTTGTGGACAGAGAGGGAAAGGAAAAATCCAGCTCTTGTAGGGAGATTTTTTTTTTTCATTGATAGAATACTCAGCCAACATAAAGTATTTTAACTCAAATACACAATTGATTAGAAAAGTTAAGAAGCTTTTCCTCATTTCTTCCTGTATGGTCTGCTTCCCAGTGGGGTGGGTGCTCATGAGGAATTGATTTGTTATAGAAAATTTTAAAAAGCTACATGTTCCTTGTGCATTTGAGTTTTAGTTTGTGTTCAATTTGTAGCTTCATTCTTCACATATTCCTAAAAAAAAAAAAGACACGTTTTCTAGGGAGAAGAATTCTGTAGCTCCCCTAGGATGCAGAAATACTTGCAATTAAGTTTTAAAGCAAGCATTTATATACATATATATATATATATATATATATATATATATATATATATGTAAATAAATTATATAAATATATTTCCTCCTTTCTCTGATGCTTTATTTAGAAACTGAGAAAACACAAACTTTAGGTTATTAAGTAACTTCTGGCATCTACCCTTTGAAGAACTTGACTATCAGTAGGCACTTGTCTCTCTAGTCACCTTTCCATGTGGTTTGCTGCTTGTCTGCAGGAGGCTGTCAGCAGCTCTGGCTGCACATGCTGTGCAGAGTGGCCCAGCTGTGTTGGGATCACATCCCAGCTGCTCCTATTCTATGATCTTACCTAGGTTCCCATCTGTCTCAGTCTCAGGTAACTGTCCTGCTGAATTAAAAAATAAAAAAATAAAAAGAGTAAAGTTCCTCTCCTTCTTACTTCAATAGAGAGAATGTCAGAATTTTTCAAGAGATATTTCTAGTGAAAAGCTAAGAAATAATTTTTAAAAAACCACCAAAGTATAAAAACAAGGATTTGGGGGACTATGATTTATGATCGTAAAGGCGGGGGCCGGGTGCAGGGGGAGCCTCAGCAGAGATTGCCTCAGATGCAAAGCTTCTAGGGCATTCAGCCATGATTTCCTTTTCCTCTTTTTCATCCCACCAGGGAACTCTTGTCCCAGATTTAGAAATATCCCTTCCTCCTTTAGTGTTTTTCAACTAGTGGACACTTAGGCCGTCTGGCCGCAGTAGACATTTGACAGTGTCTGGAGGCACTTTAGTTTTTCACAACTGAGGGAGGTAGAGGCCATGGATACTTCTAAACATCCTCCAATGCACAGGAGAGACCCCACAACAAAGAATTATACTGTCTGAAATGTCAATTGTACTGAGGTTTAGAACCTCTGCTTTAAGAAAAAGCATGTGGAATAACCTCATTTCAAAATCAGATCCAAGGCTAAGGAGGTAGCTCAGTGGTAAAGTGCAGCCCATAGAAGGCCCTGGGTTAGATCCCTAGCACAGCTTCCTACAAAAAAAAAAAATAAATAAAGTCATATCTAATATAACAGTCGCCTGCTGTGGTCAAAAGATGACGTAATTCATTCAGGGGAAGAGAAATAATCCCAATTCTGTAATAATCAATCTGTTCATTCACCTACTGAATGATTATTGGTGTCTACTCTGTCCATGGCACTGCTAAGCAATGAGCAAGGCCCCTTAAGGACAGGGGCAAAAGAAGGCCATTAAACATAAAACTTACACAAATGTATTATTTAGTTATAATTGTGTTAAATATAATAAAAAAATTATGGGCTGGGATAAGAATGTATGGTGAAGGGAAAGTTAGCTCCTCCAAAATCAAAAGAACTTCATAGTTTCTAAAAAATAAAAACTCCACTAAAAAAAATCTTCAGTGTTTTAATCTGTTGAATATTCATTTTGGTGGTGTTCAATGACATCATCTCTTTAGCCTTAGTTTTCTGAAGGAGAACTGTAACTCCTATTTTTTTTTCCAAATGCCAGTTTGAATTTCTTTTCCAGGGCAATAGCCTATTGAAATTTGCTGCAGAACACAGTCTTCCCTTCACTAGGGATGCCAGAGTGATCCTGGGAAGTGATGGGGGTTGGAAGGAAATGTGGGACTTTTCCAAGACTAGAGTTTGGAATCAAATGTGATAACCGGAGGTGGAAAGAAAAAGCTAGATTTTTCCGGTGGGCCCTAAAGACCCCCAAGTATATTATAAGGGGTGGCAGAGGGAAATTGGACACAGAGAAAAGAGAGGAAGGCAGATAAAAGAGGAGGAGGTAATGTGACCAGGTGGAAATTGGAGGAATGTGGTCACAAGTCATACAGGCAATCACCAGAAGGACAGGGCAAAGAACGGGTTCCCCCTCAGAGCCTCCAGGGGGAGTGCAGCCGGCTTTCCAGGTGATTTCAGCCCAGAGGTAGTCATTCTGAACTTTGGGCTGCCATAACTAGGAAGGAACATATTTCTAATCTTTTCAATCACCAAATTAGGAAATTGTTGTATTTACTTGGCCTTCTATGTATTTATTAATTCAACCTAAGATAGATGCATATCTCAACACATTCTAAATCACTCAGTGCATTATTAATTTTGTCTTAGAGCTTTTAGATCTCTATCAGAGCTTCAATCTACTGGTGAGTCTGATTCACCAGTTTTTTGGTTTTGTTTTGCAGCACTGGGGATTGAATCCAGGGTCTTGCATAGGCACTCAAGCACTGAACTATATCCCCAGCCCATTTTTAATTTTTTTTTTTTTTTTTTGAGACAGGGTCTCACATGTTTGCCCAGGCTGGCCATGAGTTTACAATCCTCCTGTCCCAACCTCCTGAGTCACTGGGATTTCAGGGGTGCACCACTATGTCTGCCTATTAGGTAATGAACCAGTGTAGATCAGAGATGCCTGTTTCTCAGAATTGTGGAGAAGGTTCTAGTTTCCGTTTTACTTCAACCCCAAAGACTTCCTCCTGATCTAAGTAAACCTTCTCTTGCCTGAACACTTGTATTTTAAAGGTTCACTGTCCTATACTGAATAACTGATTTAGAATTACTAGTACAAAAATTCTGTTTTCTTTGTTCTTGTTTTGCATCCTTTTCCAGTTTGTATTCTCTAGCTCTGAATATCTGTTTTTTTTTTTTTGAAGAATGGATTTATATGTGTTTCTCTCCCCTCTCCCTCTGCTTGTTCTCGATCTTAAAAGTTACCTAGAGCAAGCCGCCTCTTTTTTCTCTTCTTGTTATTTCCTTCGCTCAGCGGTGTGGAGCTGTGCGGCTGCTCGCCCCTGTTTGAAGCCACCCACACAGTTCGAATCACACTCCCAGCCGCTGACAACTCAACACAACCCAATGCCAGTCACAAATGCTTCCCTCCTGAGTTCCACAACCACTATGAAAATGAGGCCGTGGGATGTAAGAAGAAAAGAAAATGATGTTTCGTGACTGGAATTTTTAAAAATCTGAGAAATAGGAAATAAAGTAGGTCAGATGATTATTTTAAGATAATCAGTGGTGACAACAGGAACTCAAAGCAAATCTATATCAAAGAATCTGGAAAATCAAAACAAGCCATGTGAGGTCCTTTTATGTAAGTACCTCCTAGTGCTTCAGGGAGAAATGATAGCGAGGACTCTGGAAGGACTGCCAAGCAACAGTCACAGGATCCCAGGTGAGAAAAATGTACTCAGGGCTGTAACTTCATCAGAAATATATATTTGGTCTCTGCTCCCAGTTCCAACTCAGACCCCCTAAAACCCTTATATATCCTGAGTGATAGAGATGCTTGGAGCATCTTTTGTTCTGATATTTGGTCTCTGCCTCTGGTCCTGACAATAGCTGTTAAGCTCCTTGGAAGTTCCTGGGTGATGAGAGCACTTTTGGCTCTAATGAGGGACTCTTGGTGGGCTCCTAGATAGCTTCAAGATGGGGACTGGTCACCAGAAAGCCCAAGCCACAGTTTAAAGCTTGGAATTCCTCCCTCCCTGTCCTTCAGGGTGGAGACCAGCTGAAAGTGAGAGGCTGTCTTGTGGGAGGGAGCATTTATGGGTCTGTGCTAACTGAGTAGTTAGTATCTTAATTGAATTTTAGGACAAACAATAGATGTCCAGAGAAAGTTGATTGGTATCAAGAAAACCCCCACATTTTTGTTATCAGAAGTATTAAGAGTATATAAAAAGGAATTTTTCTTTAAAAGATTAACAAACTGTGTCCCACAGGTCAATTCTGGCCCACCACCTGCTTTTGTAAATAAAGTTTTATTGGAAAACAGTCACGCCCCTCCATGTGGTCTATGGCTACTTTTGCATCACTATAGCAGAACTGAGTAGTTGTGGTAGAGACATTTGGCACACAAAACCACCTAAAGTATTTACTATTCAAGCTTTTACAGAAGCTGTAGCAGCAATATCAGGTGCAGAAAGTGAACTCCAGCAGTGGGAAAATAGCAAGGAACTCCAAGTATACTGGTGTTACTAGTTTCCTAGGGCTGCCATGACAGATGATCACAAACTGGGCAGCTTCAGACAACAGAACTTGGATACTTCACTCACACTTTGGGAGACCAGAAGTCCATAATCGAGGTTTCAGTAGGGCTGGTTCTTTCTGGAGCCTCTAAGGGATAACCAGTTCCTTGCCTCTCTCCTTATGGACACATCAACCCTGTCTCTGCCTCCATCTTCACGTCATAATGTGCTTTGTCTTCTGTGTCTTCTGTATTGCTATCTTTATAAGGACCCATCATTGAATTTAGGGCCCCCCTCCTCAATTCAAGATGAGCTGTTTTGAGAGCTGTAACTGAACTTTACCTACACAATTCAACTTATTGCACCAAGAAAAAAACATCAGCCACCTTGGGGGAAAAGCAGACAGCTCAAGGCATTTGAAGAGACATTGTTATGAATGTCACCCACCCACTCTTCAATGTGGCTCTAGAGACAGTGATTCCAAAAATATTTGCCTGATTTTTGTGTACAGTTTTTACATTTTAAGGAAAACATTTTTAAATCCACAGATAACCCTCTATATTTTAATCTTATACTTTATATTTTACTTTTTTCTCTCTTTTCATTTTGTCTCCTTCACAGTTTTATGGTCTACCTGCATAAAGCCTAGGGGATTTAGGATGTCATGGACCTAAAAGTAGCAAAGAGGACAAAAGACTCACAATAAGATCAGGAGAAACTTGGAACCAGAAAAAGTAGTTCTTGCAGCCTCCCTTGGTGACCAAGACAGGGAACTATCATATTGCAGAGCTGTCAGATAGTGGCACAGAGGGAATCCAGTGAAACCCTTTCAAGTCTGCACAAATCTCTTTCATCTCATCGGAACAGTTTTGTTTTTTTTTTTTTAATTTTTCACTTGCAATTTGAGATCAAGGAGGTGTTGCCCTTTGTGTGGCTCATCTTGTCCTTCATTTCATTTTCATTCCCAGATTCCAGACTACTAATATTGTGCAGATGAAATGTAGGGAGGATTCCTGCTTTTCCCCCTATCAGTATGTACCACTGTGACCAGAATTCATTAGCAAGGAAGGGAAGAACCTGCAGTCAAGTTGGCACTCTTGGAGAAATGTCTGAGTGGAAGTGACAGTTCCCCTTTAGGGACTGTCCTTGATTGGCACTAAATCCAACCTACAGAGAAGGTGTCAGGGAAATCAGAACTCTGGTCTCCCAAGGACCACATCCTTGAGGATGTGTCAATGGAGCCCTAGGCATGAGAGAGGCAAGGCAGCCTCAGTGGTGCCAAATCAGAAATGCCTCATGTTGGTTGCAAACATCTAGAGTAGGTCCTGTTTTCCTGTGTGAACTTTTTGTCTATTAGCTCCAGAATCTGGGACAAATCAAGGCTCTGAGATCTTAAGATTTAGAGATTTTTCTAAAGATTCACTTTACCCAAAGCACACTGTTTCTTCATACTTTTTTCATGCATGACAAAGTTTCCTATATTTATTAAATGTGACTTGCATTTCTTAAGCTGCCCAAGCCTAAGTCAAAAAGATGTCCATAATCCAAAATAATAAGACAGAATAATGTCCTTCCCCCCCAAAAAAATGTCCATGTCTTAATCTCTGCAACCTGTGAATATGTTACCTTAAATGGCAAAAGTGTTTTTTGCAGATCTGATTACGTTAAGCAACTTGAGATAGAGATTTTTTTCTGGGTTATCAGGCTAAGCCCAATGTAATCACAAGGGTCCTTTGCTAGGGAGGCGGCAGGCCAGGGGAAATGAAAGTAGGTATCAGAGTGATGTGGCCATGAACCAAGGAATGTGGACAGTTTCTAGACACTGTAAAGGGGAGCTCCTAGGGGAAAATTGGCATTGTGGATACCATGGTGTTAGCTCTATAAGAGCCGTTCTGTACTTCTGACCTCCAAAGCTGTAAGATAATAAATCTCATTGCTTAAAAAGAAATGTACATGGCTGAGGCTGTATTCTGTTTTTTTTTTTTAATTAGTGCATTACAGTTTTACATAATGGTGGGATTTGTTGTTACATATTCATATGTGCACACATATAACAAGATAAAGTAGGCAATATCATTCCCTAAGATTTTTTTTTGTTTACTTAGCATTTTTCTGAATGTACCCACCTGCTCTTCTGAAACTGTGATTCCTCTCAAATTAATATTATGGAGTTTTAGTGTATTGTTATTTATAGACTTAAGAGAAAAAAGAAGAAAAAAATCTGTGTTTATATCTCAGTGTCACTATTGCTATCTAAATAACTAGTTGGCTTCTCTTAGCTTCCTTTCTTCATATATAAAGTAGGGATAAAAATATATATTCTTTTCAGAACAGTTAACAGAGTAGACCAAGACTAGTATTTTGTAAAGGCCTGATTACAGGGTTGGTCCTTTACTGGTATCTAGGAAACTAAGTTTTGTGGAGGGTTCTCATTATTCTCTAAATGACACAAGAGATTCATTATGCCTAAACCATAAAACAGGGTGGTTTATGCTGAGCATCTACTTTCATTCTGAGGGTATGGGATTTTGACAGATGCTAGACAGAGAATGTCTAGCTGACGAGTCCCTGAAAAATCCCTGGGCACTGAATCCCTAATGAGCGTCCCTGGTGGGCACTTCACATGTGTTGTCCCAAGTCGCCAGAGGAATTCAGCTCACCCTGTATGCCTGAGGACTCATGGGATCTTGACTCTAGTTTCCTCCAGGTTTTGCCCATGTGCCTATTCTTTTTGCTTCCTTTAAGTCGCATTCTTTACTATAATAAATCTTAGCCTTGGGTAAGACTATATTCTAAATCCTGTGTGTCCACCCAGTGAATCATTGAAATAAAGGAGTTTGTTTGAGGACCCCTGACACCCCTTTTTGGTAAGGTTCTTGTAAGGATTAAATAAAGTAGATGAGTGAACAGAGTGTCTGCCACACATAAGAGCTCCATGAGCATTGTTCTCATCCATTCAACAGATGTTGAAACCAATCATGGATCGCACCCTGCCCTCTACAGAGTCTCCAACAATAACCAGAAGAAATAACCTTGCCATCATGCAGCTTTCATTTACTGGGAGAAAAAATTAATAAATAAAACAAATAAATAAAATATATAGAGTGTTTCAAGATGATGAATGTTGTGGATAAATATAAGGTCCAGAAGGGGAATACAAAAAACATTTGTTTGAGGGTTTTGCAGTTTTAAGCTGGGTAATCAGGAAAGATCTCACAGAAGAGGTGATTCTTGGGCAAATATGTGAAGGAAGTAATGAAGAGGCTGAGCCACATGGACATCTAACAGGAAAGGGATCTAGCAAAGGGCACAGTAAGTGCAAAGGTCTCGGAGCTAGAATATACCTAGTATGTTTGAAGAACATTGAAGAGGCCAATGTAGCTTAAGCAGAGTAGGTCAAAGGAAAGTGATCAGAGTTCAAAGGGGTAAGGCAGAGAGTTGGGGGATAATATTCAATAGGACTTTGAAGACTATAGTAGTAACTCAAAGATCATTCATGATGGTACCTTTCCTTCAGAGTCATAGGAATTCATTGACTGCTATTGGAGAATCAAATATAGAGGGATGAGAGCGGAAGCAAGGAGACCAGTTAAGAGGTTATCCCAGCAATTCAGTGAGACAGTGATGACTCCATTATGGATGGTCCATTGTGACAGCAGAGTATGGAGAAATGGTCAGACTCTGAATATGTTTTAAACGGAATTTAACAGGATGGATTGAATATAGGGTACAAGAGAGGGTTCGGGGTGAGTCTAAAGTGTTGCTCTGAGGGGCATCACCCCTTGTGTTTCTCAATTCGTGTGCTATCTACTCCCTCTTTTCCAGTGGCTTTCTCTCTTTGATGCCTCCACCAAAGGATCATTGATAGCAATATGGCTCCTGGTCTCCATCAGTGTCTACAGAGGTGTAAAACATCAAGGGCCTGGATGTGTGAGCTAAGGTACTACCTCCTGTTATGACCAAAGCAATAAAAACTGCAGGAGTGTGCTGACCTCTGCTCCAAGCTCTCTAGTGAGTGCTATGCTTTTTTTGGTCAATTTTCTCCTGCTCTAGAATTCTGGTAAAAATCTAAAGTCAAATCTAAGTGACAGATTTTGTGTAAAACTCAGAATCACTCCTCTGACTCGTCCATTGGTCTTAAATCCAATTTCTCTCCCTCTTTTTCATCTTATGTTCTTTTCTACCTAGGAAGTGTCAGGGTCACATA